AAAAAAAAAAAAAAAAAAAAAAAAAAAGGAAAAGGAAAAGAAAAAAGTTGATTAAAAAAACAAAAAAAAAAACACAGTCCACCAATATCACTTCATTTTTTTTTTCCTTGATTTCTGGGCACCTATTTATAAAAATCATTCAAAAGCGTCAATCTTTCAGAAAAAAAAAAAAAAAGCACAAATTTTTGTTGTTTCAATTTTTTTTTTTACTCCGACTTTAACTATTTCCTTTCTCATATTTCCCTCTTTTTTTTTTTTTTTTTTGCAGCACATATCATCCAACCCCGTGTTGATATTGCCAACATGAAGATAATACTGGTGCTTGTTGCAATTGTTGTATTTGCATGTGCTGAAGACGAGATAGTGCTACCGTTTCTTGAAGGTGCATCACAAAAAGCGGTCAATGAATTCAAAAAAATTTTGTTAAGAGCTGGTGATAGAACTGAGGATCAATTTATGTCTGAAGTTGAAGCCTGGGTTGCTAAACAAACTCCAAAAATAAAGGTAATAATAAATATATATATATATTTTTTTGATGTTTACTTTTACGCTGATACTATTGTTCGTCTATAAAGTTAGGCTGTTGCACTAACTTACAGTAGGAATCAGTCAATAAATATTGATATCAGTTTTTGCAAAAAAAAAAAAAACAAAAAAAAAGAAAACTATTCTTAATAATTTTCTAAATGCTAATTATTTTCTAACTGTTTATTGCTGTTTTATAGAAGGACTATGCAGAATACAAAAGATTCCTGATTGATCGGCAGAAAAAGGATAGAGCTGCACATAAAGCTGCAGTAGCCAAAATGTCATCAGCAGCAAAGAAGGCTGACGCTAAAATTATTGCCGTTCTAACAAGCAAAAAACTTACAGGCAATGAAAAGAGGCGAAAACTTATTGCAATCGCTAGAAGTATACACTAATTTTAAAAACACTTTTTACACCTTTTACAATTTTTAATCATATGTAATTTTTTTTTTTTTTTCTTGATTTTCTCTTAAAAAATACTTAACAGTATTTCTTTAGTCAATCTAAGATTTGCTATTATAATTAAACCTGGAAAAAAAAAAAAACTGTTGCAAACAATGTAAAACCCGAAAAAAAGAACAAATAAAAAATAAATTCTTTTTTTTCTTTTTTATTTTATCATTTCAAAA